TTTTATTCAAAATATTGACATGTCACAAGAAATCAGTACTTTTGATATATCAGGCTGGCTCGTATAACAAAATAATTTGACGGCATCATTCAACACTGACATAATTGATTATAATTGTATTTTATAATGAAAAGTATGAGAAGGTATAATCAGGGAATAGTATACTGACTGACAGTTAGTATATAATGTCGTTTTATTGATTTTGTTGGTAGCTAAACGTCCAGGGGCAAATATTTCATTCATGTTCAGGACGACTATATACGTCCCAGATATCATGTTTAAACGGGAAAGATGAATCTGCCGAAATAGACGTAATAGTTCATAACTATACAACACCTTATATATCCGGACACTATACAATTTTTGTTTGAACATTTTGTCAAAAAACAGAATCTTAAATCCAAGGCAAACAAGGTGAACTACGATGAATATCCATGTAATGCATATGATTATGTTTAAAAAGAGATTATAAAAAATGGGGACCGACGCAAACAATGATGTTCATATCCCATCATATAAAAATAGGTTTTTTCAATGCGTTAGATAACCTTTCTATCCGACTTTCAATTGTAAAACAACCTTTCCTTTCTTTATGATAGCTGCATGTACATATGTCGATCAAAAAGTTTGAAATTGTATAGCAATTATTTAATGTATATAAGAATATAAAATAAAAAAAGAAATTGTTAATGTGTATATGTATACAGACTCACTAACGAGTACATTTTTTGCTATACTGGGGGGAAAGAACAATACGATTATTGTTTACATAATTAAAGGTCAGGTCCAATATGAAAAGTCTAAAACACGGCAATCTGTCATAAGCAGACCTGTCCTGAGGTCCGGTCAGTAGCAGACCTGTCCACAGGTCTGATCTGGGACAGACCTGTCCCCAGGACTGGTCAATTGCAGACTTGTCCACAGGTCTGGTCTGGAGCAGTCCTAAAAAAGCAGAACTAGGTCTGGTCTACCACCGACGAAGTTCACTTCCTTGTTTGCTTAAAATTTCATAAGTTAACTTGGAAAGCAGGAAAAAAGTCTGCTCCAAGTTAACTTTTGTACAGGTTAGGACTGCACCCATCTGTATCTACATTTGTCTACCTTTGACCAGACCAAAACTAGCTCGACCAGTAAAGTATGAAATCTCTTCAAATAATTATAGACAAAATCATCAATTCACCGTCTTTTCGTTAAATACAATCACTTGTTTGAAACATATTATTTTTGAATACTAAATACAAAATGCAAGTGTAACATGTCAAAAATTACCTTAGCTATTTTTGAGTTATATCTCTTTGAATAGAGTTCAGTAAATGAAGTGAAATTTGGAAATTAAATGAAAATGGAAAAAAAGAAAAGATAATTTTTATAATAGCATTTATATATTTTATCAAATCATATTTGTGATACCGTTTGATTATTTTGTCCAAATATTATTTAAGGGTATTTCAAAATATTATTTACTTCATTCTAGTAATTAGTGTACAGGTAAAAACTGTTCACTACATTGTATGTTTTTCACTATTGCTAAATAACTGATCGACAGGTGTAGTTGTGTCTCAGTTTTGTGAACAAGAATATTTTAAGATTGAAGGTTGGTGTATTTTGTAAATATTTATAATGATTTTGAATATGACTGTTTTATATAAAAGTGTTTTATAAAATACAAAAAGAACAAAAACTATGATATGTACATGTAAATAACATATTATATTTTCATCTGAAGTTTTGCAAATGCAAATACGCTTTCGAAATTTTGTTTTTGTATCATTATTTGAATTTGAAGTATAGTTTTATTGTGCCAATTGATAGGCATTGATAAGAAATATTTATACTATGAAAGATGTGTGTTATATTTTAATTATAAAAGGTTCTGATAAAGTCAGTATTGTTCACAGGTAGATCTATGTGTTTTTCCTACTAGAGGATGATATTTTGAGGTGAAATTGTCTGCTATTTCCTTATTTAGGGTATGTATATTGAATTGTAATTGTGTGCCCTTGATTGATATTATGATTATGTTTAGTTAATTTTCGATATTTCTAATTGAAATATTATTGATTATCCATGAACAAATGTTGATTACTTTGAAGACTTTCTCTTATTTTATACTTTTATTGAGAAAAAGTTAAGAATTGTAACATTCAGAAAGGGAGATAATCATGTTCCTGTAGCTTTTATGAATAAATGTTTCTGATGCATTGAATTGAAATTTGAATACGCAATCTTTATTACAAATTAAAGTTGATTGTTTTTATCATCTGCATTTCAATAGACTTATGATGTTTTGTGTTTTTCTGTTTTTCCAAAAATATTGAACTGTTCAGCGTTGCCAATTAATGTGATTATTTTTGATATATATATATATAATATGAATATACAATAAATTCATGAACATTATCTTTGTGCTTTCGTAAGCCAGTTTATCGTTTTCGGAGGTTACACAAGTTAGTTATGGAAAAAATCAAATTTGAAGATCTGTTATATATATTTATATCAATATTTGGAATATAATGCAAACGATGTACATGTACTTAGTAGATAAAACAAAAATCCCAAAGTTCACTTATTGCCTGAAATGATGTTTGGCAATTGGTTGAATAGTCATCATCAGATTTCAGGAAATAAGCCTAATGACTAAATATTTCAGGCAATCACTTAATGCCTCGGTATTAACTAATTGCTTAGGATTTAAGCTTACAGCATAATTTCACGTATTGCCGCTAATAAATACATCTTAGACAGTAAATTACATCTACGCTACGGAAAACTGTTTAAATTCTAGTTTTGGGTCTTTCAAGGATTCTATACATCACATACTAATGAAATGTCATTAATGGATGAATCTATGACTACAAACAGTGTTTCACACAACGATTATTTAATTCACGCTTGAGTAATAGGTAACGTTTTCAGTTCTTTTTTTTTTTACAATAAACAATTCAGATCATAATGTTACTTTTAACACGCTCGATAGAGCAACTTGTACCTGTTGGTTCCCGTACGTTGGAGCAACACATTACAGTTTTTTGTGTACCATAGATCAACCCGTTGAAATTAGTTCGCGTACGTTCAAGAGCAATTCGTTGCAACTAACCAGAGAGCGCGGTTTGTATCCAAAACTTATCATCCCTATCAATTACTATTACAATTCTCTTCATCAGCAACCCTTAATTGACCAATTAAATGTAGTTTTACATTCAGTCTAAATGGCGACAGACGACAGACTAGGTGACACCCTACATATTTTCATATATACATCAAGTACCGATGCAACTTCATCAGTGCGTATGTCTTGTAAACATGTACGATAAGTTTGTATTTCAAATTGTAAAGATCAACAATATCAAAGTCATCAAATGAATATTTTCAGTTAGCACATGTTTAATTATCACATAAATCCACAATGAAAATTCATTGCACTCCCAAAAATCCTGCATTAGAAATAATCGCACTCACACCTTTCTTTTTTAGTTTAAATGAACAGCTTTCAATAAAAGAGTGTCGAAATATACCAAAGGGACATTCAAAGTCATAAGTCAAAAATCAACTGGGTTTTGCTCAATGTTGAAGGTTGCACGGTGACCTATACTTGTAAACTTCTATGTCATTTGGTCTCTGGTGAAGAGTTGTTTACTTGGCAGTCATACCACACCTTATTTTTATATTGACAACGCTATTGCAAAACCGAAAAGAGACAAAAAGACAAACAGCATAATACAATACACAACATAGAAAACTAAAGACTAAGAAACAAGAACCCCACCTAACATCGGGGGTGATCTCAGGAGCTCCGGAATGATAAGCAGATCCTGCTACAAATGTAGCAATCGTCGTGATACTCATTTATATATAAAGAGATCTGTGAAACAGATCTTCAATAAACGATATTCTAGATTTTGTCGGTTTATTAACACACATTCGGAAGTTATTGTACATTGAAAATGCATATTTTGAATGATATTGGGTTTAAATAAATTATTTGGTATTTTCAAAATGTAAACAAACGCAGTTTTCCAATCATCCTTTATTCTAGATTCTGTCGGATCATTAACAAATATTCGGAAGTTATTGTACATTGACAATTCGTATTTTTTTTTTTTATAAAATTGTGTTTAAACATACATTTAAATAAATTATTCGGTATTTTTTAAACCGTAAACAAACGCAGTTTTCCAATCATCCTTTATTCTACAATAGTAATTATCGCGTATGACAGTGAAAATGAACTACCTTGATCTGCACATTGTATACACTGATATATATTCAGTCTATGAGTTACTATTTTGAAAATTGAATATCTTAATGCAGGTGATTTTAGGAGATACTTAAGAGGGAATATTTTTGAAATGTTCAGAAGTGACTCTTGAAATAGAGCTGGTAGAGTGTTGCCTGAATTCCTTCATAATTAATGAAAATATGATTAGGTCAATAATACACGTGCATTTCATTGATAAATTTCTGCGAATGGACATAAACGCGTAACGTTGCTGCATTGATGCAGAAGGCGTCATTTCCTAATATTTTCGAGTAACATGTCCTGTCCAGAATCTTAAAACATATATGGCTGTGAAATCAAAAGGAAAATGTTCAAATTCACGATACAACTGCATACCAAATAGTATTAACTTCTAATAAGTGGTTCATCTTACAATGATTTTATCACGAACTGTAACATGTAATCTTAAGAAAAGTTTAAAAGTCAGTAGACCATGAAATAGGGAGTAGGGTCAAATATTCTCCATGGAAATGATATTCACAAACTGCACTAATAAAAAACTTTAACAGAATGTTGACGCCGACCGCCGATGCAACCACCACCAGAAACAGCATACCTATCTTTCGCTTTTTGATTTCGTCAACGCAATTACAAAAAACTATGGGATATTTCATTGATATATGAACTAAGTTCAACATTGCCAGAAAGATTTGGAATCTTAGTTACTTCGAAATTACTAAATTCATAATATGATCTAAACAAGACAGAAACTAAACCTTACCGTGTAATGATGATTTCCTAACCCATCCTGAAAACCTTGATGTGTTATTTGCTATGTGTTGTTTAATTCCATTGCCTTTGTTAACATATCTATATCAAATTGTACAGAAGTTGAGAAAAAAAAACTTCCTTATAACAACCTTGTGGAGGGTCAGGGAAGGGGTCGTCATTTTTGTATTCATTATTTTTAAGACCATTATTTTTTTATCCTTTAAAAGGTTTTACTTTTATTATCTATACTTGTTTTAACCACCCTATTATTGTTTATTGTTTATTGTTTGATCTATTTTTATGTATTTTTTGTCCACAATTCTCTTCTCTGTAAACCCAATAGAGACCCTCATAAAAGTTAAGTGATCGGTTTTATCAATTCCTGTGTAATACAAAGCGTGGATTATTTGAACATTTCATGGATTTATAATTAAATTTGTGTGTTTTCTGTCATGCTAATTGTGTTTGATAAAATTTGAGATTATTATAAAGATTACTTTTTTTTTAATTTTCGTTGCTTTATCATTTTAGAATACATATTATTATGCACTTAATGTATATTTATGTTTAAACAAAGCAAAAATATCATCTCGAAATGTTATTCAGACTTTATGAGAGATGAATTTAGTTTTACGAACCTATGCTTCAATTAATTTCTTTCAAGTAGCAGATCTATATCATGGAACTCATGATACGAAACTAAAGCATAACATGTATTGCAATTAGTATGTTAGCTGGGTAAAAGATATAAGGAATTTGAAAGTATCAAATCAAATACATTAAAATGTTTAAAATCTAACTGCGTGTGTATGTGGCTGTTTGATACCTATTCGTGAACTGTTCAAGAGTTTTTTATGAAGATTTTTGACATCATTCTTTCATTTTATATTAATTTCAATTCTCAAATTGAACAGTTGGCGTTCTTCTCAGTACATAATCCCTTGGTTTGCATATAATGGTTGTCAGTAATAATAATAGTCTGAACTGCATGTCTTTATTATTCCTTTTGATCTTGTTCATCCAGATAAAGAGGATTGATAAATACTTTTCCCACATTTATAGCTTCATAGATATTCTAGAAAATTTACCAAACATTATGAAGTTTGAACCAAAATATCCTCATCACCAATTTGCATCCATTATATTAAAAGTTGCTGTTGATGTTCCAATTACTTTTGACATAACTCGTTAATGATACAAGGCTTATAATTCGGTACGCCAAACGCGCATGTTGTTTACATAAGACTCATCAATGACGCTCGAATAAAAAAGTTGGAAGGCCAACTCAAGTTGAATGACTGTTTTAATGACATATGTATTGACTACTAAGCTGGTTTTACAAGCTATGGCTACGTTCAAAGATACTTAACTTATAATTGTGTACGTCAGGCGCTCGTTTTGTCTATATAAGTAGTTATCGAAAGTACTAGAATTATAATTTGATACACCAAACGCGCGTTTTGTCTACAAAAGATTCATCAGTGACGCTCAGATCAAAATAGTTAGAAAGCCAAACAAATATCAAGTTGAAGAGCATTGAGGACCCACAACCAAAAAAAAATATGCAAAATACATAATCGGTAATCTATGCCTGGGATAAGAAAATCCTTAATATTTCGAATGATTCATACTTTTGCACACAGTAAATTTATAAAAATGACCATATAATTGATATTCATGTCAACACCAAAGTGCTGCACACTGGGCTGGTGATATCCTCGGGGACAAAACGTCCACCAGCAGTGGCATCGACCCAGTGGTCAGGTGTGTTTTAATTAAAATAGGTGGAATGCGAAATCAAGTGTTAAGTTGAAGAGTATAACAAAACGAAAGCATTTTACTAAAAAAGATTGAGGTCATATTTGCCGTTGGGGAGAAAGTCATTTAGTTCAACATCTTATAAACAGTGAATATATACAATGATTATATCAAGCGTATTTCACGTCACCACAGAATTGCTGACTCCTAGGCTTGTGACACCATTGAGTATGAAACGTCCGTCAATAGCGAAATCCACTCATTGGTTCGAAACCTCATCAAATTTACTAGGTTCATGAACATGTTAGATAGAGGCGCGTAATATAAAAATAGGCGTAAAGACAAATCAAGTACGAAGTTAAAGAGCTATGTAAACCCAGATATTGTCCTTTATACTCATGCAAAAGAGTGAACACGCCAATTATAAAAAAAATAATGTGTTTTGTAACCAAAAATCAAACATGTTCCTCCAAACAAGTTGATCAGTTTTTGTTTTTTTGCTATGACGTTTTCAGTTTGTTGCCAACCTTTTAGTTTGCATATCCCTTTGGTATCATCAGTCCCACATTTGTCAAAAAGTCACTGTTTGTGGTGTCCTGTGCTGTCATGAATGGAAGATGCCCGTTGTTATTTTGCGGTTTACATGTTGTAATGTACTATTATATTATGTATTTATGCGTTTCTCTGTACTGAGTGTTCTTGCGTTTGTTTGTACTGTATTTCTGTCACGTAGTGTTGTCATTTTAGCGATATTTTTTTAACATTGCCATATAAGCGGGAGGTTTGGCTAGCCATAAAACCTGGTTCAACCCACCATTTTTTCTTAAAATGTCCTGTACCAAGTCAGGAATATGGTAGTTGTTATCAAATAGTCCGTTTCTATGTATGTTGGGGTTTGTTTTTGTTGCACTTCAGTGTGTCTGTTAATCCGGTTTTTTCCTCTTATAGTTGATGCGTTTCCCTCGGTTTAAGTTTGTAACCCGGATTTGTTTTCTCTCAATCGATTAATGACTTTTGAACAGCGGTATACTACTGTTGCCTTCATTGTAGTCAGCAACACAATTTCTGTCTAGCTCATTTCATGATTAGTTTATTTCCAAAACTGTTAACCATCCTTCATGTGACGTAGTTTAGTCTTTGGCTATTCTTAAGTTAGCACACTCAAAATCTCCGAGGAGCCTGTGTCGATTTAATGGCATGTATGGATATGTTAGATTTGTTCATACTCCTGACCTCACAAATATGTTCAAAATGTAGTAACCACAATCATGTCCTCTCTTTTTTTTTATTTTGATAATACCGAATTTGTACTTAGCATTAGTAACACAACGGATGCCACTTGTTGAGTAGAATCCAGTGCCCCTGGAATCACCACTAGTTTTTTGGTGTGGTTCTTTTTGCTCCTTCTTTAGTTTTCTTTGTAGTGTTTTGTGAATTTGTTTGTCTTCTTTCATAATGTTTTCGATGTCCCCTGGGTATCATCGCTTCTTTTTTAGTTGTCTAACATCTTAAACACCTCAATAGATAAAGAAAATCATTTAAATAGAGAGAGAAAAAATAGGAAAGGAAAAGAAGAACAATCCCTTAACAAATGAGCTGATATATAAGGAACGGCAGTTGTTAACCGATTTTTGAATTTTGTAAATTGATTTTGTCCCCATGGAATCATCCCCTCTTTTTAAGTTTTCTAATACCTTTAACACCTCTATAGATATAAAAATCATTCAAAATAGAGAAAACACTGGGGGGGGGGGGGGGGGGGGGGTCCCTTAAAAAATGAGCTGATAGCCATATATAAGGGACAGCAGAGTTTAACGTATGTTCGAATTTTGTATTTTTATTTAAAATATACAAACCAATTAAAAACTGATGGAATCACATAAACTTCCAAAAGAAAACAAGACCAAGTGTGTCGTCGGGTAAGTCTCTCCTTATCTGCATTATTTAGCGCATATATAACTCCTTTATTTCGTTTATACTAGTTTGTTGTTGATACAATTGAGAGAAGTTATTTTAGATGTGGACTATGCTATACAGATTTTTAGAAAAGCAAGATATCAATAAAAAAAAAAACAATGTGTATTTTTAGGATTTTTTATCTTCAAAAAAGTATATTGATGTTGATTTGAACACAGCCATAAATTTACCGTAGACAGATTAAGACAGATTGAGAAACTAAGATCCTGACTCCCTCAAGCAATGACTTTTTTATTATTTGTGAGGTCATTTTTGGTCCAATATCTATTCACGTGTTTAAGTCTCTTATAAATCCTTGGTTTTCAATTGTTTTGGTATGAGCGTCCCTGATTAAGGATAATTTAGAAAAGAGCTTCATACACATGAAATTAATGTAGTGTTATTTTTATTCATAGGAAATAAAAGAAAATCCACCGCAGATCAGAAAGATGAAGGAGAAAAATGAGAACTGAAGTAACTGCCATTTACCATCCGTCTATTCGTTCGATCATCTAAAAAACATCAATGATCAAAGACCATGAATGTTTGGTAATATTATTTGTCGTCATATTGATTTGACCATGCTATATTGTCATGTTGTTTTGACCATACTTTATTGTCAGTTTGTTTTGACCATACTATATTGTCAGTTTGGTTTGATTTGACCATACTATGTTGTCAGTTTGCTTTGACCATACTATAGTGTCAGTTTGATTTGACAATTTCTAGAGTTTTATTTGACTTTCATCAGTTTAGAATATATTGTTGCTGGGCTTCTTAAATGTCGTATATGACTTTTTTTGCAAAAATTACTTTTTCACACAAACCGGCTTGGCGGGAGGAAATCTCTGATATTCCAAAATATCACACATTCAGACCAATCAAAACATTTGAAATAAGACATGTGACAAAATTGCCAATCCTATTGTTTTAAAGTTTGGTTCCAAAATGTCGTATGTAAACTTGAAAATAGTTGTAAAATGGCTTTGAGAATCAAAAACTTGTAGATTTCTTTAGTTATGTAAAAATAAGATTAGATTTTATATTATCCAGAAATGTCCAAGTTTTTATTTCACATCTATATGCAAAAATGTTCAAGTTCACATACAACATTTTTGAAGCAAATATTTCGAACAAATTTTCAAAGCCTGTTTGTGAGATTTTTTTGTTGTTGAAAAATTTGTCATATACCCGATTTTGGAAGCCCAGCGACGATATGCTTTTTAAAAGGAATATCTACTTAATCTATTACTAACCTTTTAACAATTAGAAATTTCTTGCAAAATATCAACATAACACCCGTTCTTGATACTCTGGATTTATCATTATTCATGGGGTATCAAATTTCTTTGATTTCGTGGGTTTACGTATTATGTATTTAATATTCAACGAAGTACATATTTTCTTTAGGCTTGTATGCAGACATTGGCAAAATCGTGAAATCGAAACAGGAAAAAACAATTAATCCTCATTTCTCGAATATGGGTACCCACGAAAATAAAGGAATCCAAAGTAGATCTTATAAAAAAGAGTAGATTCCTCAAGATTCGAGGATAGAAATATGTTCAATCAGAATCTGAATAATGAACTATTTGGTAATGTCAAATAAGAACAGGATGCCTGCTGTACCAATTATACTTAAATTGTATAAGGGAAGTCTTTAAGATAAGGTTTTATTACAGGTTTCACATACACTTAACCTAGTGAATGATTTATGTTACGGTTCGATGGACCAAGCCATACAGACGTACACACTTACAATTTTTTTCAATTCTGACCCGACTATAAATACTTAACAATGATCACTGATCCATAATTTAAAAGCTTCAAGGACATGTATGAGGGATAAGTTCACTTGACAATCATTCCCTACACCAAATATAGTTGAATTATTGTTTAAAATATCTGATAAACGAACCTGTTCGGTGTGAGCCAAGGCTCTGCGTTGAAGGCCGTACTTTGAACTATAATGGTTTACTTTTACAAATTGTGACTTGGATGGAGAGTTGTCTCATTGGCACTCATATCACATCTTCTTATATCTATCTACTGACCCTGAAACCTTAGCGTTGACCATTGAACCATGAAAAATTCCTAAGGGTTCCGCGGAATCCAGTGTCTCGCCTACTTTTGCTGTTAGAAGCAGGCTCAACAAAAATGAGGAAAAAATTATTAAAAATTTTCCTCTAGATACTATCTTTTGATTGTAAGAAGCTTCTGTTCAAGTTTGGTAAAAATCCAGGATGTTTTATGAATCAAATAAATGTTTTAAAAACTTTAACTGCAGACTGTATGTAATGTTAACTGGAAGAAAAACTAAGTCCATTTATAAGTAATATACAGAAAAACAGGAAATAAATTTTTACAAAATTGCCTTCTAGAAACTAGCTTTTGATCATAAACAAGCTTCTGTCAAACTATATAGTACAAATCCAGGATAGTTTAAGAAACTTATTAAACTTTTTAACTTTAACCACTTAGTGAATGTAATGTTAACTGGCAGAAAAACTAAGTCCATTTATAAGTAAAATACGGATAAACAGGATTTTTTTTTTAACAAAATTTACTTCTGGATACTATCTTATGATCATAAACAAGCTTCTGTCCAAGTTTGGTAGAAATCCAGGATAGTTTAAGAAAGTTATTAAAATTTCAAAAAAAATTTAACCACAGAGTGAATATTTGTGTCGACGCCGCCGCCGACAGAATATAGGATCGCTATGTCTCACTTTTGCGACAAAAGTCGCAGGCTCGACAAAAATAAGGTCAGGAATGCTTAAAATGAAACCTGTCAGTTAGACACGTACACCTTACAATCATTCGATACAGAAAACACACAAGTAGATGACCTTCTTCTTATAGTATCTGAGAGGTGGACCTAACACAAAGTTTAACATTGACAAATGAATCGTCCAAATGAAGGCAAGAGATTAAAAATGCTAGAAAGGTATTTCTCTACTTTTTGCGCTATTTTCACATTTCTTGAGCAGTGTGAGAAAAATTTTTCTCATCACTAGTGTTATATCTGTTCTCAGCAAATGATTGGTCGAAATTTAATTATGAGGTTAAATTTTCTTGATTTTCTTTTGAATTTCCTATTGTGACGTCATGAAAAAAGGCGACCATGCCTGATGATCTCACATAAAAAGAACACAACTTTCTGCAAATCTTTGAAACAGAAGGATAAAAATCATAAGAGAAACAGATTCCACCCATATAACTCGTGTATTACAATATTTCTCCACTCTCAACATTTAAATTTTATCTATTTAAAGAGCTTGGCAAGCCTCACGTTTTAAATATTAAAATTTGACTGTCTCGTGTGGACAAATTTCGTAAATCACTTGTTACAGTGATGAAATCTATATGTACACCATTCGATCTTTCCATATACTTAATATAGTTGACCTATTGCTTATAGTATGGTGATGATGATGATGATAATGATTATGACAACAACGATGATGATGCATTGTGTGTAATTTCAGTGGCAAATAGTATATTCATTTTAGGATGGGAAAATGTTAATGTGATATGGATATGAATTTGCTTTGTAGCAGACTGAGAAATCCCATTGGATTTTAACGTGCTAGTTCACATAGGGAACAGGATGAAGGAAGACATGTCACCCTCTGCTAGCATCATTCTGCCTCTGAACCGACCAGTATTTGCTCTTTCTCCTTAATCCTGCATGTTTAGCAGAAATGCAAAATATACCAATATAAAGATAAAGAGAAGAGGTATGATTGCCACTGAGAAAACTATTCACCAAAGTTGAAATAAAGTTTGCAAGTTATATGTTTGACCCTGCAAGGGATCAAAACCTGTAAAATCCTGCACTTGAAACAAATTTATATATTTCAAAATGTTGTCTCATAAATAAAGCAAAAGAAACAAAATTCAATGATGTGCTTCAAAACTGTATATTCAGAATGACTGGTTTTAATGCATGAATTAAAAAGTTCATAGCTTATATCTAAGGCAAAAATATAAAAAAACAATGTCCAATGTGTTTCAAGCCACATAGAAGGATAGATTTGTAATGTTCTGTTGTTCTAAAATTCTCCTGTGATGTCCATTGTTACGTACTCCTTATTTAAGCATGTATTAATAGATATTTCGAATTTAGACAGATGGTATGTAAATTGCAATCATCTTTTTTCCAAGATCCAATGTCTTAAAAAATTGTAATAGTCAGATCTTCTTAACATCAATTCTCTTTCTTCTCTTTAAGTTTTCTGGTCCTCAGTGGATTTTCTTTACATTTCTTGTAAACTGTGGGCAATTCAAAATCTCTGATGATGCTTTCCTGAAAAGAAGAATATATACATGAAGATTTTCTAGTATCTTATTGTATCAATCAGAATGTTGCCATATTTTTCAATTATCTCTTGGTTTTTTTTTCTTATAATCTTTATAGTATATGATTCCCTCAGTTTAAATTTCATTTGAATTTTCAAACAAAGCAAATTCAATATGGCTATCTGTAGGTATTTTTAAGAGATTTGTCTTTCATGTATATTTCTTTTCCTTGTTTGGCCTTATAAACTAACAACAAATAACTTGAACAAATATGAACAGCATTACTCATTAGTCTTTTGTTTTCTACGTTGTGTTTTGTGTACTATTGTTTATGTTTGTCTTTTTCTTTTTTCAGTCAGGGCTATAACTCTATAGGGTTATTACAGAAAATAACTTGCATGTGTTATTACAGATACTTTTATGAGTTGTCTACTCTTTAATCCTTAAATTTACTAAATCTGTAATAACATATGTTTGTTATTTGTAAAATATATCATAAATATTTTTATTTTTAGTGTGCTCTAGGGAACTCTTGAAACTTTGCGCAGAAACTAAATGCATAGCCTTGATAACTAACTATTAATTTAGATTAATACATTTTTCATTAACCATGGTAAATCATTGAGACAAGGCTTTTAAGTGATTAACTTAGCTGTAATAACAAGGCTTAGTTATTAAAGGCATGTAACTTATCAAATGAGACACTTGGGAATTACTGGGAAGCTTGCGCAGAACCTCATTACATGCTCTGATCATTACTTCTTACAATAAATTAAAATACATTGTAATTGAGCATGATCTATGTCTGAGCAAATGCTTTGAAGTGATGTAGAGAAGCTGTAATAACACCCTTTAGTTATTACAGGCATATTTGTTCTGTAATAACATAGGTTTGATATGCATGATTGGCAAACTATGAACTGTTATATCTTTCTATAGTTAAGTATACATAAAGACAGTAGCAATATCAATAGAACTTGTATACATTTTAACAAAACTAATGATGTATATTGTCCCTTTGAAACATGTAACATACATATGTTATCACAGTTCTTTGATTTTTTTGTCCACAATAACAAGCGCATGTTATTTTTCTCTAACTTTTGACTGTTTTTAGCCATGGCTTTGTCAGTTTTTTTTCAATTTATAAGTTTGAATGTGCCTCTGATATCTTTCGCCCCTCTTTCATAAAAGTTCATTTTAAATTTTGACAGACAAAAAAAGATTCTAGGTTTCAATCTATCATCAAAAGAACCTGTCAATGACGACGCAATGTAGAACAGATATGTATGACCACTGTGACATAAATGTTGCAGGCCAGACAAAAATCACAAAGGTAGGCATTGAAAGGGAAGATAATGATTGTTCATCAATTTAGTTTCTACTTTTTTCAAGGTTCTCATCAGAATATAAAGCCTGAACAAATGTAAATATCTGTTGCTTGTCTCGTGTATTGCCTCTTGTGGTAAAATGATAGGGTCAGCTGTTCTTCTTTTACATTTTCTTTGTCTGTTGTCCTAATAAATTAGCAGATAAATGATTTGCAGTCTACTAAAAAGGCACAAAATGCTTTTTCTTGATTATTTTTTTTTTGAGAAGCAATACAATCTTTAAAGGTCAACGATCCCATTTCATTTTGCAGGCAGGATGTATTTGTTGTTTTTTTATCCCCTAACAGGAAATAACCTTATATAAGGAAAGATGTTTAAAACTCTGATAATTAACTGCTTAGTTTAGGTAATTATACCATTTAAATCAGTATGCTTACACACATCACTGCCATAACTGTTATCCTCTTCATGTATTATTTATCTAATGTGAAAGAACAAAGATGGCTTACCTTGACAAAACTGTACCTAACAACAGTTCCCTTCGGTGAAATAAATGGCTTCCTCATTTCTTCTTTACCGTCTCTGAACAATATGAGTGTTGGTAATTGTTTGGAGAATGATCCACTATCAATGTTAAACCTGAAATATATGAAACCGTTGAAACAGTCAGTAATTCTTAGAAAACAATCCACTATAAATATTAGACATAAAATTATATTAAAACACACACATATGTGCTAACAAGAATGTGGATGCCCCACTCGCACTATCATTTTCTATGTTCAGTGGACCATGAAATTGGGGGTCAAAACTCTAATTAGGCATTAAAATTAGAAAGATCATATCAAATGGAACATGTGTACTAAGTTTCAAGTTGGTTGGACTTTAACATCATCAAAAACTACCTTGACCAAAAAATTTAACCTGAAGCGGGACAGATGGACGGACAGACCAATGGATGGACAATGGATGCACAGATTAAAAAAAAATAATGCCCCTAGGTGGGGCATAAAAAGGGGCACAGATAGTGTCACTAATAGCATCACATGATGGTATCATTTAATTTAATTTTCAAAAAGTTTTTATGTATGGTAGATCTTACAAAATTTTAGACTTAAATTTACTTATATCTCTTCTTACAGTGCATGTTCAAAAAAACTTTGAATAGATTGTTTGCACAAGTTGTTTGAATGTTTGCTGAAGCATAATACTCATTATTATCATGATTATCAACAATTGCTTCCTATGACACAGATGGAATTGTAATAAAAAAGATTATATTGGACAAAATTATTTTCATGGGGACCAATTTTCTTAGATAGGTTTCGAAACATTCTTACTAGCCGATTGGAAATTTGTATTTTGTGGAATACTTAAATCTATTGTTAACTGAATCCATGAATATTAGAACCTACATTTACTAATGTGTTCAATTTAGATGCAACACATGAGTTAGTGTAATCATATTTTATCAAGAATGTGTTATGTATAGTTTATACAGAGTAAACAAATATGAAATATACAAGTAATCTAAAAATTGGGATTGAGAAACAAGAGCAGTGTTCTTATAAAAATCCCTCTCCCTAATGAGTTAACTTCCTAACTAAATTGGTATTTCACTTGATACTAGGTACCCATATCTTACATAATATATTTTTCTTAAATACATTGATAAATTAAAGAATTAATACAAAACTAAGGTTCCATCTTCCTAAGCAGTCTAAGGCAAAGTTGATCATAGATGAAATTGATTATTTTTTTCAGGCTCCTTTTGGTAGCAAAATTTAAGCTATTTTATACATTCCTGGCTATTTAGTTGTTAGGTTTGAGTGATCCTGAGGAAGCTATTTTATACATCCCTGGCTATTTAATGGTTAGGTTTGAGTGAGGAAGCTATTTTATACATCCCTGGCTATTTAATGGTTAGGTTTGAGTGATCCTGAGGAAGCTATTTTATACATTCCTGGCTATTTAGATGTTAGGTTTGAGTGAGGAAGCTATTTTATACATCCCTGGCTATTTAATTGTTAGGTTTGAGTGATCCTGAGGAAGCTATTTTATACATCCCTGGCTATTTAATTGTTAGGTTTGAGTGATCCTGAGGAAGCTATTTTATACATCCCTGGCTATTTAATTGTTAGGTTTGAGTGATCCTGAGGAAGCTATTTTATACATTCCTGGCTATTTAATTGTTAGGTTTGAGTGATCCTGAGGAAGCTATTTTATACATCCCTGGCTATTTAATGGTTAGGTTTGAGTGATCCTGAGGAAGCTATTTTATACATTCCTGGCTATTTAATGGTTAGGTTTGAGTGATCCTGAGGAAGCTATTTTATACATTCCTGGCTATTTAATTGTTAGGTTTGAGTGATCCTGAGGAAGCTATTTTATACATCCCTGGCTATTTAATTGTTAGGTTTGAGTGATCCTGAGGAAGCTATTTTATACATTCCTGGCTATTTAATTGTTAGGTTTGAGTGATCCTAATAAAGCTATTTTATACATTCCTGGCTATTTAATTGTTAGGTTTGAGTGATCCTGAGGAAGCTATTTTATACATCCCTGGCTATTTAATTGTTAGGTTTGAGTGATCCTGAGGAAGCTATTTTATACATTCCTGGCTATTTAATTGTTAGGTTTGAGTGATCCTGAGGAAGCTATTTTATACATTCCTGGCTATTTAATGGTTAGGTTTGAGTGATCCTGAGGAAGCTATTTTATACATTCCTGGCTATTTAATTGTTAGGTTTGAGTGATCCTAATAAAGCTATTTTATACGTTCCTGGCTATTTAATGGTTAGGTTTGAGTGTTTCTGATGAAGCTATTTTATACATCCCTGGCTATTTAATTGTTAGGTTTGAGTGATCCTGATGAAGTTAAATCCAGAAAAGCACTTTGGACGCACAAATTTTATAAAGTTTTATTTTTATTTACTAGCAGCAGGTATATACCACTGATGATGGACTAATACTAACGTTATCATCATCTCAGAAGGCAGTGTTTCCATACTGATATTAATTACAACAATGTTTCCTGAAACTTTTTATTGATATATTAAGAAATCATTAGGAAATCCTTTTGGTAATATAGTTTATATATATGTATAACAGACAATTATTGGTGGATTTGAATGCATTGGATATTGGATTTCCTTTGTTAAAGTTAATCCCATGCATACTTTAACACCATTGCCAGATTTCAATGATGTGAATATAAATAAATCATAACTATGAATATATCAAAACCTGTACATTCATTGAAAGACAACCTTTAGTAGAAATCTATATAATCTAACCTTTGTCCAACATCTGGAAACTTTGCGACATCTATTTTACCAAATTTCAAATTTTCTAAACAGTAGCTGAAAAACAAATAATGAAATGCATTTGTCATAGGTAAGAACTAATGTTTTCATAGAAACAATGATATATACTTGGAAAAGTAATTCTGAAAGCACTGTTCCTGTGGAATTTCTTCCAATGCTGCCACCAAACTAATAAGTACCTGTGAAATGTCTCCCAATGATGCCACCAAACTCAATAGTATGTGTGAAATGTCTCCAAATGCTGCCACCAAACCTAATTATAGCTGTGAAATGTCTCCCAATGCTGACTCCAAACCCAATGTTACCTGTGAAATGTCTCCCAATGCTGCCACCAAACCTAAAGTTACCTTGAAATGTCTCCAAATGCTGCCACCAAACCTAATTATATCTGTGAAATGTCTCCCAATGCTGCCTCCAAACCCAATGTTACCTGTGAAATGTCTCCCAATGCTGCCACCAAACCTAAAGTTACCTTGAAATGTCTCCAAATGCTGCCTCCAAACCCAATGTTACCTGTGAAATGTCTCCCAATGCTCCCACCAAACCTAAAGTTACCTTGAAATGTCTCCAAATGCTGCCACCAAACCTAATTATAGCTGTGAAATGTCTCCCAATGCTGCCTCCAAACCCAATGTTACCTATGAAATGTCTCCCAATGCTGCCACCAAACCCAATATTACCTGTGAAATGTTTCCCAATGCTACCACAAAACCCAATATGACATATGAAACTTCTAACATTGCCTATACTACATGTATGTGTGTCCCTGGGACATTAACTTGCGAATGATAAGAGAAATCTTTCAAATATAAATTGAACTGAGTTTAGGTAACACATTCTGGTAGTGGTGAATAATCATGCAACGTTCATCCTTTAACTACAAGAGGTTTTAACCCTTAATGTTGGGAAACAAGTTTACTCCTTTTCATTTAAGTGCTTCTAATACGGGAAAAAAATATTCTCGTAACACCTCACTATTACAATGAACTGTAAACATTGTTTTCCTTAAAATAAAATATGGTATTCCATAAATTCTGTTTAATTTGTTATCAAACTTTTTTCCTTAGCAAGCAATGTCTATGAAGCTGGCTTATGATGTCTTAGTTTTCTACCTCTACTCTATTGAGTAAATCATTCACAGTCGAGTTGCTTCAGTTGGAAAACTATCACACACAAAGATCAATGCAAAATTTCAGAGAAAAAATCAATAAACTTTTATCTCCTATCAGCGTGATCACAAATTATGAAATAAGGAAAGTATTTTTAACACAGAAACCACTCATTACTGTCTGTCTTTATGCTCTACAGTTGTTCTTTATCATTAATATAATAAACAACAACAGTAAGCATTAGTGGTGGATCCCGACTGCCTAAGAGGGGACCGCTCCAGTCCCCCCATGCCTTCAGTGATTCCTTATGTAATCAACCATTTTTTTCCCACAAAAGAGGGGGGCGGGCCCCCTCCCCACTCCCTCTAAATCCGCCCCTGAGCATAATAACAGCTAAAATAGTCAGTTTTATACTTACTCGTTTGATAATTCA